GTTTTAAACAAACTTTTATATTTTAAATGATTAAAACACATTTTCAATCTCTCATCTTATCATACCTTCACTTTTCAATACTACTTTAATTTTCTTTTATTCATGTTTTGCATAAATTTACATACAAATATGTTAATATAAAAAGTTTATAATCCTGATCAGTTGGGAAGAAAAATAAATGTTGTCTTATACGTGACTTGATACTTTTTCTATTAAACACATGTTAAAAACCGTGAGTATAAGTATGAACAAAAAAAAAAACAATATCTGATATGGAAAAAAATAGAATCCTTAAGTTAAAATGATTATTTCCCTCGTTCAAATTGGTTTTTTAACATTTCTCTCCCGAATTGACCTAAATGTCACTACTTCGGAAATACCCAAAAAAATCAAATTCAACACAAATATGCAATTGCAATGATAAACTGGTTGAAATTGACATTTTTTTGTCTCTTATCCATTACAGATGTAGTGACATTTGGGTCGAACTGGAAGAAAGATGGTTAGAAAACTAATTTGGATAAGGAAAATGATCATTTGAGCTAATTTTTCGAAAAAAATGTAGTATTTTTAAGGGGAAAAAGTGATGATAAGGTTGTAGTCTTATCAATAATCCACACATTTAAAGGGAAAACATTTCCTTTACGTTATAAACAGTGAAATTAATCCCCACCATCACAAGTTTAAGCTGCGTTGACCACTTTCGGACATACTTTCCCCCATCTTTGACCTCTTTCTCCCCAAAAAAAACACACTTTTTTTTTCGCTTCAAACTATTATCCTTTTCGGAAACACTATTAAAAATATGTATTTCCGTATTATTACAACAAATATATGTTATATTATATATTTAGAGGTGGATTATTATACAACATTTTACATTTGTACAAACAATACAACTCAATCTCAATCGTCCATTTAATTTGATAAATATGTGATTTCATAGAAGTTTTAATTGTTTCCTAATATAAAGTATTAATCATAATTAATTAACTTTATTCATCTTCCATAAATATTCAAATCATAATAAATGAACTCCCATTATTTCTATAAATATCTCAATTAATTGGGTTGCATTGGTTGTACAAATGGACATGGTTGCATTTGAAATATACCATATATATCTATACCATTTTATATTTTAAAGTTTTCATGTTTATATATAATTAAGAAATTTATGTATTTTTTTTATTTTATTATATAAGTTTTAAGGGTAAAGTGCATCAAAATGGAATCATCTTTCACTTGATTACTATTTTGAGAAATCAACTTCCAAAATCATCATTTAAAGGTCTGAATCTAAATCAAATATTTTTTTTATTTAAGGGTCTGATTAATCTGTTCAACTGGTAGCTGGTAATTTAAGACCCTTGGATGGGGACTTGGATTGGAGGAGTCGGGAACTCTTATTGAAAATGCCTCTTCGAGCCCGTTTGAGCATGACAAATGGATTTGACAAACGGATTTGGTGGCTTAGCGATGATGGTTCTTTTTCGGTCAAGGAGTTTGAAATCTTAATTGATGAGAAAGTTTTGCAAGTACCGACTCACGTTGTTCCAACTACATGGAGTTCCCACGGAAGGTTTGTGTTTTCATTTGGTGACTTCGATGATGAAGTTTACTGGTGAGGATGACTTTGAATGACAAAGGCTTGGACCTGCCCTCCCTTCTTTGCTCTTGTTGTGATCAAGAGTTAGAAATCGTGGAACATTGCTTTGTTACTTGTTCGTCGATGGCGTAACTTTATAGTTCTATTTTACGGTGGTGTGGCTGGAGTCTTTCGTGACCATTTTCACTAGATGCCTTGATACTGTATACGGATTCGAGTTCCAAAACTGTGGGTATTGTATAGGTGATCTCTTATTGAGTCGGACTTCCGGACCCTAGGTATTATGGTGATGAACTCGTAAGGAGTAGATAGTTATGAATTCTATTGAGTTTCCCTTATTTGATCGAACAACCCAATTCAGTTATTTTAACTACATTAAATAATCTTTCAAATTGGTCAAGACTCTCTAGAGGGAGGAGATTATCGAACGCGGAAAATGATCCAATAACTACGAAAGAATTGATATGACGGAATTGATAACGCCGTGAAATCTTTCTTTTTTTATTACTTGCTTTCTTCTGACTCCTTACGTATGTAGTTGACATTAAGTCGTTTAGGGTATTTTGGGGATGGACTCGTGTGGAATTGGGCCTCAAGATTGTTGGCTTGTAGGTGTAACTCTACAGTATGTAAGTAGGCACTAAGGTCGAGAGTATTACAAAGATGAACTCGTGTGTGGTCGGACTCGGGGACCTTGGATATTGCGGTGGAAACTAGAGGAGTTAAGGTTAAAGAGAAATCTTCTTATTTTACAGTTATATGTTTATATTATAAATTGTTTTAGTATATGAGGTCTGAGTGACGTTCAGAGCTTTGTGTAGAGGTTTCATTAGGATGGCTTAGATGCGTCATCCAGTTTTGAAGATAACAGATTTAATGGTTTTAGTAACACCCTACTTATTCTAATTCTATTTGGGAACTAGACAGACAATTTAGAACTATGATACATATCTTGGCTTTCTTCATTTCTAAGCTTTAGTCATTTGGTGTTAGTGTCGTATTATTTTGAAGGAACTTGGAAGTTTTAAATCGTCTGGATTTTTTATTTATTTTAAGGGTGTTACAACTTTGTTTCCCGGGTTGTTTTAGTGAGGGTTTTTGGTTGATGTCTATTTCTTGCATAATTCCTTGAGCCTTCTTGTACATTGGTTTTTCCCGTCTTAATAAATTTGTCTTGTCTTTCAAAAAAATAAATATTAAGGGTTGTTTGGTAGTTGCTGAATGTTTTTTGTTGCAGAATGATTAAATGGTCATAATGATTAAGAGGCTTTCATGATATAGTGCAAAATAAAATATAATTGTTCGATAATTGTTTACAATGGAATTAAGGTGCTGAATGGTTAAGGAGGGAGACCCAAGATACAAAATTATTCAGAGAGTTTTTGAAACATTAATTTTCTCAATTTACATATATATATATATATATATATATATGTTTATATTTACTGAATACACACACACACACAGATATATATATATATACATATGTATGAATGAGTTATATAGAGATGTGAATAGATTGAAAATATGTGTATATGAAAAGCTTAAGTGATAGTGTAATTGTCTAATATATGTATTAATAGAAATTCAACAATCATATTAAATCCAAGAAATAAAATGATATCGGGTTTATCATGTTGGGTTTGGTTCAAATAATAGTGACTCGATATCAACGCAATTCCTACGGTTTGAAAATTTTACAACTCGATTAGACATCGGATTGAGTTATTTTGCGTTGGATTAAGTTGGATTGATCAGGTTGGTCGGGTTTTTAAGCAATGTATTACACACTAAAAGGAAGGCTTGGGTACAACATTTGATAACGATGATAAAAGTGGCATCAAATTCACTTGTGCATATATAAACTATGATAAAAGTGGTATCAAATTCACTTGTGCATATATGATGGATCTTGTCCTATTAAAAGTTGTGGGAAAAGTTAGTCACCTAGTCCATGTCACCCGAGTATATTGTGATCATATTAAATCTCATTCTCACATATCAAGCCATAAGAGAGGAACCTAAGGTTTTATGACGTAAATCACAAGGGTGGTGTTTGATTGGTTTCAGCATGAGCTCCAAAGGTCAAAGTACCTGGAGGTCTCAAGTTCAAATCTAATAAGGAATAAAAATCTCATTGTGGCCACGGAGGTTCAAATACGGTGACTCCGGATTACCCGCAAAGCAGATGGTCGCCCTAGGATTAGTTGGCTCGCATAACGGGTTGGATATCCATGTTAATTAAAAAACAATTTTATGATGTATGAACATGTTAACATATATGCATATACATACATCATTGGCACCTTCCACAAATAAATCATTCATTTAGCATATCACTTCTATATTTTTCACTATATCAATACTTTTCTCCTACCAAATTAAATAAAAATGCTTTTAACAACTTAATAACACCATTACATATTATTTATTTATATTTTGATGTTAAATAATGTGTTAAAGATGGTTATGGGTAAAATTGGAATTACATATCATTTGTTTTTCATTATATCAAAATAGAACAGACATTCGTTTGATTCATATTTTTCGGAATCAATATTTAAATGACGTAAAATAAAACATTACAAAAAATAAAATAAACAAACCAAAACCCATGTTATTTCTTCTTCATCAACATGTCGTCATCTCTTCATTATTTCTAGACTCGGGGTTCATCGTCACCTCCCTTCTTCTTCAACACAACGCCAACACAAACACGAAACTCCATCGATCATTCTCCCACCTCTATCGTTGCAATTCATATCCATTAACAATGGAAAATCGAGACGAAATCAAAACCCATATCAAAGGAGACCTTTTAGCTCCTCTTCTACTACTTTTTTGTAGCATTATTGGTAATAACTAAGGGGTTGTTTGTTTACCTCTTAATAGTTCCATTAAAAGGCAACCTCAGAATCGTTAAGAGGTAAATTTTGTTTGGCAAAAAAAAATCTGCCTCTTAATGGTTTTAAAACCCTCTAAATGATTTTGTATATTGGATCTCCCTTAACCATTAAGAACCCTAATTTCATTGTACACAATTACCAAACAAATTATATTTCATTTTGCACTATATTATGAGAGTCTTCTAATCATTCTGCAATTGCCAAACACCCCCTTAATGATATAGAATGTGTCTTATTCAATAAACTTTTAAGGGGACGTTTAATACAGAAAACCAAATTTTTTTTTCTAAACTCACTCCTTTTAATTAAAAACACTCTCGTTCCATTTATGAAAAAAAACCATTTTTTCATACCGACAAACAGACAGCTTTATTCATACAAGAAATACGAGAGGTAAACCAACCAAACACCCCTTAGAGGGTGTATAGTAAAAACCTATTGGATTAAAGAAAATATAGAAAGATAAGTATAATAAATAAAACATCATAATAAGGCATAAACTTTACAGAACCCCATTAATGTCTAATTTACTTCTGGTATGGGGGAAAGTACTTTAACTACATAACTACGGCCCTCCCTTCCTACTCCATCGATTATTGAGAACTCATTTCTTCCTCGTTTCTATCACAATCAACATCAAAAACCTAAAAATCCACATCATATTCCCGCTTTTTGACCATAATCATCACCTTTCTCCGTCTCATCGGATGACCAACTGTTCAAGCATTTTGCATACTGCGCCGCCGGCGAACTTGATGATCTTGACGAACAATCCGAATCTGAATTTTTTTTTTAAAACAATTTGGACTCTTAACCATCGTTGTGTTAAAATTTGTTCCAATAAATAATAAACTCGATTTGTTTCTTACCTCTTGAAGCTTTGAATGATCTTTTGCAGTGTAAAATGGCGCTTTGGATCCCATCCTGTTGTTGTAGTAGCGAATCGTCACGACGGTTTGCCGATATTGTTCCCGGAGGAGAGGCGGCCACCGCTGTAGAGGCGGACCGGCTCTTTCCTAAATGCTTGCAAACCACACGAAGTCCAGCCGGCAAGTTACCTTGTTTCAGTCCTTTGGCGTTACTCGGTAGCAGCGGTGGTTCGGAAACTTCTGGAGTTGATTCCTTTTCTCTCTTATGATTCGCGGCCGGAGACTGTTTTTGTTCCTCCGTCGCCGGCGACGGTGCTATGTTCGGCTTGGTAGCTCCTTGAAAGCTTAGTTGACCGGAGAACTTCAACTTCTCGCCGTATCGCTTCGAAACGCGAACGTATAGAGGCTTAACTTTTCTCAGATACCTCTGCATCGCCTCTTTTGAAAATTTCTTCTCCTCTGAAGAAGCAGAACTCGATTCGTCGGAGTTGTCTCGTTTTTTGGGGACTTTTGAACTGTTGTGTCTCTGAAACAACGACACAATCGGAACTTCTTCCACTTTGAATTTCACCGTCATCGACTTGCCGGAATCTTCACTCTCTCCTTTCTGCTCCGCCTTCTCTCCGTCGTCCTCTTTCTTCTGCTCATCCTTCGAATTTGAAGAACCAGATGCGTTGGACTCCGTACCTTCAACAGATTCCGCATTTTTCGATTTCTTAAACTTCAACATCATGACTCGAAACTTTGTCGCCGATTTCATCAACGAAACACGAAACTGCGGTGGCTTTGAATTAGTTGCCGTCGTCTGGTCAACCGGAACAAAGCTGCCTTTGAAGAACAAATCGTCGGAGGGAGAGACTGAAACATTCGCATCCGTCGTACTATCACCGCTGGAACCAGACAAGAGCGTGAACTTCAACTCCCTTTCATCTTCCAGCTCGTCAGATCCATCAGAATCTTCTTCATCTTCCTCCCCATACTCAGCACCGTTTCCAGTTTCACCATCCTTCGCATGCTCTTCACCTCCTCCTTCCTCTCCTTCTTCCGGTAAACTAAACTCCAAATCAAAAAAGGGGCCGTGATCATTGTCGTCATCTTCGTCATCTCCTGTTTCCGACGTTTGGGTGCTGACTGCCGTTACGATGGTGGTACTGGTGGCGGTGGCTGTGGCTGTGGCTGTGGCTGTGGCGGTGGCGGAAGCGGTGGAAGTCCTAACATCAGCATTTCCATTGGCATCAGCGGCAGCATTACTCCTCCAGTACCTTAGCAAGCTAAAAGCTTCCATGGTTGGGAGAGCCAGAATAAAAAAAGAAGGGAATGGGGGGTTAAAAGGGAGGAGAGAGTGAGTAGGTGGGTATGGGGTTTGTTTAATGGCGATGAACAACAGAAACACAGAGGAGTGAGGTAAAGCTTTTTCTCTTTTCACTGTTCAGGAGAGAGAGGCCAACTTTTACCATATAGGTAAGGGGGTGGGTGAATAAAATTGGATAAACTACTGCCCGGTTTTCCTTTGCGATATTTCGACGGAATCCGAAAGAATTAGCTGAGTGACACCGTGGTTTAATGTAAAATGATTAAAAAGTTTTTATAATATAGTGTAAAAAAAATATAATTGTTTATAATGAAATTAGGGCACTGAATGGTTAAGTGAGACCTATGATACAAAATCATTCAAAGAGCTTTAGAATCATTAAAAGATAGACTTTTTTTTTGCTAAAAAAGATTTACCTCTTAACGATTCAGAAACTGCCTCTTAATGTAACTATTAAGAGGTAAACAAATAATCTCTCACTTCCATTAAACAAATCTTATTTGTATTTGTTGTGGATTTAACAAGGTTTTAAATGACGTGAGATTAAACGTGATAGAAAGATCACGTCTCAAGCATTTGGAGTCATAGTAACGCCACGATGTTTGTAGGGAGCCATTTAGAACATTAGGATTTAGTCATTCCATCATAAATATTGTGAGATTCATTTTTGTTGATACCTATTTTCTCAAAAAGACTAAACCGCCTGATAATTATATATGTGTAATACAAATAAAATGCGACCATCTGTATTGTTTTAATCGCACTCCATTCTAATTCAATCTCAGCACTTAATCTTACCAATTTTAAAGAATTTATTTTTTAATTAATTATTCAATAAAAAGGCAATTATCTCTTTTTATTTTTTATTAACTAAAGAAATAATACTTCCTATTTTAGTGGACGGTTTTAATAATTTTAATATATTATCTATATTTATACTATCTTATAAATCAGATTTGTTAAAAGTTTTAAAAACAATTATTAATGCATAAAGTACTACATATTTATGTACAAAGTCTTAAAAACACCTCATAATGCATTAAGTATTACTACTTTATGCATTTAGTCTTAAAATCTTTTAATCTACAATTAAAATAATATATAGTACAAGTTACCAATGCATATTATTACTTTTTCTTTTCATGTTCTCAATATATTTTTGACACATTTCACTCGTGTTTTCATCCTCTCATACCTCTGTCTTCTCATTCCCAAAGGTGAGATTCAAACTGATATTCACCATGGGATATTAAAAGTTTTCGTATTCATCTCTCATTCAATTGATCTAGAACTCTCGGTCTCGCTCTCGATCTCTTGATTCTTTGCTCTTGGTGTAAATCGAACACATTTGTGGAGTCGTTTAAATATGTTGGATTTTAGATATATTGAATTTTAAACTGTCATACAATTTTTTTCACCGATAGACTATAATTGGAACCATAACTCTTATTTATTCAAATTGTATTAATATCTAAAGACCAAGTGTAATTTATATCATCGTTAAATCTTCTCTAATAAAACCAGTGAAACTTCAAAATCGTTAAAATTCACAGCTCCTGCCGCATTGCACGGGTACACAACTAGTTGTTTTTAAATTTAGAATTGACCTTCATACCTATTTTAAACCCTTTTTTTTTCATCTACATCATCAAATTCACAGTTTTTTGTTGCGTCGTATGAGTTTTTGTGAATAATTCGACGGTGAAACCATATCACAGATCATTATAGAGAAAGGCGGTTGATTGATGCCGATCTCGATGGTGAAATCGTATCACATATCGCGATCCACGACAGAGAAAGACGGAAAAAAACATTCAAATTTTTCAACGAAAAAAATACACTTTTCGTCTTCTTCTTCTTCGATGCATACATGCATATTTCACATACGTACTACCATATATGTATACATGCATATTTCGATTGTTCATGTATGCGTATGTGCATCTGCTGATTGTTCATATATGATTTTACGACGTCATGTTTTCTTCTTCAAATTATAAGATGCATATGATATGCATGTGTTCATAAGATGACACCTATGTATCAAACAAGATGCATATATTATATGCATCTGCTGATTGTTCATATATGATTTTACGAATTCCTATTATTTTTAATGCATAAGATGGATATGCTATCTATATGATATGCATAATGCATATATTCATATAAAAAAACTGGAAATAACAAAAAAAAAAAAAAAAAAACTGATTTGAATACATTTTCTAATTTAAAAACAATAAAAATATAAAAAACCGTCCCATTAGGAAATTTTGGTTTTTTATTTAAATAATGAAAAGGTAAAAAGAATTTTTTTTTAATTAAATGTTAGTTAGATAATAAACTCATTGAAAATGGGGGAGATCATTTATTGCAACAATATTAAGGCTTGTATTTGATATTTATCTATACCATCTTATAAATCATATTTATTAAAAGTCTTAAAAACAATTTTTAATACACAAAGTACTATACATTTATGTATAAAATCTTAAAAATAACTCATAATGCATTAAGTACTACTGCTTTATGCATTTAGTCTTAAAATTTCTTAATATACAATTAAAATAACATATAGTACAAATTACCAATGCACATTATTACTTTCTCTTKTCATGTTCCCAATATACTTTTGACACATTTCACTCATGTCTTCACTCTCTCATACCTCTAACTCTGTGTGTTTTCCTCATCCCCTCAGGTAAGATTCAAACTGATATTCACCATGAGTTATCAAAAGTTCTCTCATTCATCTCTAATTCAATTGCTCTCGAACTCTCGGTCTCGCTCTCAATCTCTTGATTCTTTGCTCTTGGTGCCGAACACATTTGTGGAATCGTTTAAATATGTTGGATTTTAAATATATTTGATTTTAAACTGTCATACAATTTTTTTTATCGATAGATTGTAGTTGGAACTATAACTCTTATTTATTCAAATTGTGTTAATATGTAAAGACCAAATGTAACTTATATCATCGTTAAATTTTCTCTAATAAAACCAGTGAAACTTCAAAATCGTTAAAATTCATTGCTCCCGTCGCATTGCGCGGATACACAACTAGTATACATAAAAGGTTGAGTTTTAGTAAAAAATGAAGTTATTATGAGAAATGTAAGAAAAAATCTCTACCATTTTGATCAATTTTAATTGAATATCAACACTAATAAGGTACATCGAGATACATCAAATCAAAACCGACATGATTAACTATTTTCTTTTTTTTTGACAAAAATATGGTTATAAATCTTGGGTATTGCTAAATCGTTTTCTAACGGGTGCATCGAATATCTTAAAAAATGATTTTTATATTAAAATATTCGAGTTTAAACTAATTAAAAACTGTTATTGTTTATTTTTTGTTGTTTTCCTATTTATAAATCATAGATCACAAAAAGAATAAAATAATAGATTAAATAAATATACATTAAAAAAAAAGTACTAATGTGTTTTTACTTTATTAAATAGATTAACATGAGACATAATCATTTAGGTTGTCGTAATGAAAATTTCATTTTCTCTAAACTTGAATTAAAATACAGTTTTATGATCATAAAGGTTTATCTGTAATAACTGCAGTCTCCAAATCATTCGTAGTCGATCAAGAAATTAGTCGGTACACATGAGTTGACTTGGACACCCACGATACGCACACACATATGATGTGTTAGATATTTTATTTAACAACTAGAAAAGGTACTCGTGCAATGCAGCGATATACGTCGTGATTTTAATGTTTCGCTTGATATTTTGGGTCGATGTTATAATGCGATTTTGAGAAGGAAAAAAATTGTTTTTGTTTTTTTTATTGAAATATAACTTTGAAGATATTATAAAATTTTAAAAAAATTAATCGATATTAGTATTAAATTAACTATTTAAAAGTTCTCGTTTTTGTGTAATTTCTTTCAATTTGTTTTATTATAATTTACTTGAAGTTTAATAACAAACTAATTTATTTGTGTTTTAATTAAATAATTTTTTAAGATAATAATTAAGTATTCTGTTAGAACTCAATTATTATCTTAATTATATTTTACATTTTTTATATTTAAAATGATGTTTATTATGTATTTGATTATGTTTATTTGTAGTTAGTTAAAAGAATTCAAACGTAAAGCTTTAATAAGATGTCCTCAGGGGGTGTTTGGGATTGTTTATTTTAGGTGTTTTTTGACTTATTTCAGTCTGACATCGGTGATAAGCTAAATGTTAGTTTTTGGATGAGGAAAAATAAAACTGCTTATATCGGTGCCAAACCGGTAATAAGCAGTTTTTGATAAGTTAATCATTCATGACTTGTGAAAAACTGCTTATTACCAGTTTATCATTTTAACCTTGTTTTATTAATGTTTGTTAATTATTAATCTTATTGGTGTAAATTATTAATCTTATTGATGTAATTTTTTGTCAATAATACGGAAGACTGTCGTTTTTGATCATTTTACATATATAAGCCAAATTTGCCAAACATTAAAAACATCTTATCAGATTATTGTTTTTTGGTACCGCTATAAGCTAATACAAACACTTTTTACAATACCCCGTTTTGATACCACATAACTTAATAAGCACTTTTATAAAAAAAAAAAACATAAGTTGTTTTAAATAAGCAATCTCAAACACCATCATAACTCATGCACATTTTACTTATAATCTTTAGTTTTAAGTAATATAAATCAATAAACAATACTTTATATGTAAAAAAATTATTTTTTTAAGAATAAAATATAACAGATTTGAAATATATTATTTATGTGTATTAAATTCCTGATATTTATATCATAATTTATTGATGAAAAAAAGTTTGAACCGAAATAAAAAAAGAATTATCAAAAAGACCTCTTTTCTATGTAAGCCAGAAAAAAGTATTGTATTCTTGTGGAATGGAACAGTACAGCATGTAAGGATATAAATTTGAGAGTTTTTATTACACTAAATTGCATTTTTGGTCCCTATACCGTACATTTAATACATTATTTGTTCTCTAGTTTTTTTTATTGCAAACTTGCCACTATGGTAT